ATAATTTGATTCAATTGAGTTAGAAAATAGATAAGCTAAAGAGTCAATAATATTAGGCGAGAACAAATTAATCATTAAGATTACTAGCTGTAGCCAACTAATCTTTAATTTTTTATAGCACCAGCATCCTTCGCGCAATCTCGAATATGGTACGAAGACAAAAGAAATGCCGACAATGATCAATCATCTTTAACCACCCATAATATGTCATTTTTCTATCGTCTCTGCACAGGAGATATTTTATCAGTACAACAACTTCGTCATGCTCTTCAACTCGTTGTAACCAAACATGAATCACTTCATACATCACTCATCTACGATTCCATCAAACATCTCCTCACGCAGAGAGTTCTCACCCAACAAGGTACCAATAATAACATGTTCATAATTACTGAAAGTACTTATGAAACAGACGAACAACTCAATGCTACCATCGAAAATGAGAAATGTAATCGTCAACTTTTCGATCTCGCTCAAGGTCTTGTCTTTCAATGTCACATTATTTACTATAAACAAATTTTTTCAAACAATATCTTGTCTGATACAGACATAATTATCTTCAATTTTCATCATGTTCTATATGACTCTTTATCAATGAGTATTTTTCTTCATGATCTCAATCAAGCATATACAACAAGTCAGCTACCTAACAGTGACACTACTAACCTACGTTATCTCGATTGTAAGTATAAACATTACGTCTACTTTTCTCTTTTTCCTAATACATTCTCTTCTTTAATTATATAATAGATGCTGTTATTGAACAACAAATGTCAATGACTGGTGCAAGTATGTTTTGGCTTGATGCTCTTCAAGACTTTAAACTCGATCAATCTTTACCGTTACCATTTGATCGATATCGTCTTTCAAATGGACATCGAACCGGTCGTGGAACATCTATTTCTTTCGATTTTGGTCGAGATCTTTCCCATCACTTTCTTATTCATGCATCATCAAATAGCATATCACTGGAACAACTTGTACTTGCTACCTACTTTATCTTCTTATTTAAATTAACTAATGAACAAACAGATTTATGTATTGCAATGAACATTGACAATCGTTATAGGGATGAACTAAAATCTATAATTGGACTGTTCGAGAATGTTATTCCACTGCGATGTCAACTAGATTCTCATTGGTCTTTTCATTATATACTCGATTTTGTTCGAGAAATAACAACAAATAGTATGAAATATTCATATTTTCCACTTCAACGTATTCTCA